AAAAGATTGTACATAGTGAGAGATCGAATGTTTAGGTTTCTTAGAACTTGCTGAGGATTGTTTTGTGAGCCTAATTTACGACTGACAGATTCTGGAGAATGTGTCATGTTCTGACGGTAGAATATATATCCTATAACTATATTCTGAAATCTGTTATCAGCATTGGGTAAGTCCCCAAGGTGCTCTTACCGGGAAGATTCTAGCCTACATCCATCCTGAGTAGGAGCTTCATCGCATCTGCCCCAGAGAGGAGAGGAAATGATGTCTTACATCATTTCCTCTTCCTCCCAGCATTCTGTTGATTTACTCTACCTACCTATGTTCTAACCTATCAGGGCCAAGCAGTTTCTTTATTAATTAACCAATGACCTTCCTCCATCATTTCCCCTTTTTCTGTTTAACAAAAAAGGAAGGCTTTAATTTTACCATAGCAAAATTATACATAACAAAACAGTTATCAAGTAAAAATTACAATATTTACATCTATTTTATCTTTATCATAACTAAGGAAAACTATAACTATCTATCTATTCTTCAACTCCATCAAAGACTCCAGAAAATACAATATTACCTAAGCAAACAAGAAATAAGCAACTTCCAAACTCTAGAAATGACAGACACATCTTGCTGCCTGGACAGTCACCCAAAGTTTCTCTGTACCATTGGGGCATCCATCTTTGGCCTATAGGCCCATAGTATCCAGAGACATTTCCATGAAGCAGGAAATTTCCAAGTCAGTTCAGTCACTATCTGTTGTGTCCTGCAGAATGTCTTGCAGACTCCTTCATGAATCAGGAACCACGAAAGATCATCTCACCTTTAGGGAAGTTCAGTAGTCCTCTCTCTGCAGGTTGTCTGTGTCCAGTTTATACAATAGTCCAGGCAAGAGCAGTTTCTTGCCCAAATGGCTATCAGACACCATAAGGAGCCTCTTTGATGGCCCTCGTCCTCTTGAAGTAGATTCATGCTGCCAGGAGCAGACGTGTCTCATTGTCATGAAAAGTCCTAAGTTATTAAAACATTAAAGGTCCTATTTTGTAGTCTTTGAAAGATATGAAGAATGTCTATCTAAAATATATCTATGTACATCTAGAAAATCTAACATGACTACAAACTTGACTATTATTAATGATTACCCATTAACAACCTATATACATTACATTTTTAATGAACTATACAATATCAGAATCAATATGAACTAATCAATATCAGAAATACATATACATATAACAAGATTGACAAATTTAAATCACTAAAGCAAAATCCATATCAATGCAAATTATTCATACCTATATCATATCCCCCTTTAAATGTAAAAGAACATTTATAAACAATATTTGGGAATATGAGTGCAGTTATTTTACTCCAAACTGCTTTGTGCTGAATGGGGGCACTGTTATTTAGGTCTTTCATGGTATAACCTGTGTGCCAGGTTCATCTCAGTCAGCAGTTGAGTGAAGTAATTTTCTGAAGGTGTTCACAGCAACCTTTTAGGAGGGCGTGGTCTATCATACCATACTGGGATCGAAGCAATCCACAGGGTTTCATCCTCTGTGAAAACAAAAGAAGAAACTCTTTTCCAAAGTATCATATCCTTAGATCCAAATTCTGAAGTCAAGGTATTTTTACAATATCTATCTTGGATGAGTTCAGCAGCATTTATAAACTAATATAATTTAGCAGCTATTGCTCTTTCCTCAGCATTCAAACAATTCAAAGAGAGCATAATATCACACAGTATCAAAATTCTCTTTGTATTTTCCATCTTTGTGAAGCTTTGTTCTAACCGCTATTTCGGTTATCTTTACTTTTAACTTTTTGCTTTTTGAGACAGGTTCTCTGTATATCTTTGACCTGGAATAACTCTGTGGACCAGGCTGTCCTTGAACTCTCAGAGAATCTCTGCTTCCCAGGCATTGGGATTAAAGGCGTGTGCTACCACACCTTGAAGTCACAGAGGTCAATATCCCTCTCAGAGAATCTCTGCTTCCCAGGCATTGGGATTAAAGGTGTGTCCTACCACACCCAACTACTCTCTTTCCTCCTTTTTTTTTTTTACTTTAAGAACTTTAACTTTGAGTCTGCATATATTTTTAACACACTGTAAATCATTTAAAAGGTTTTTTTTTTTGTTTTTGAATCTCTCTTTACTGTATCTCTCTTTCTTTTTCTGACCACATGAGCCTTTAAATTATTGAGTAATATGGGTAGGATTAAAGCCATGGCTTTGGCGGCTGGATCCAGCCCATTCCTTAGCTTTACAGCCTCATGGCAGAGGTACCGGCTGTAGCCCTGTTTATTGCCACAAGTCTATGGCATTTCAAGGTCCCTGCCAGCAAGCAAGCTGCAGCATTATATCCACAGACAACACTCAAGTCCTCTCTCTGTAGTCGGCCCTCCTGCCTCAAACAGTCAGAGTTTGCCCTGGCAGGACGGCCCAGAAAACCAGCATTTTTAAAAGGTGCAGCATTTTTCCTGTTATGGCTGAAAACCGAAAATCATGCGTTGCTTTTCGTCAACACCCTTTAAGTGTTTCGTGGCAGGACCTCTTAAAAGAGCTGCAGGGTTTTGCAGCTAAAGCTGAGTCAGGAAGCCCCTCTTAGTTGAGAGTGCTTGCTTGCCTCTAGCAAGAAGAACAGACTTGAGAAATTGCTGCTACCAAGAAAACATGCTTTACTCTATTCTTTTCCAAGCTTTCTCAGGCTTTCTGTGGACTAAGTTATCCACGTCTGGGTTATGATAATAGCTTAATCCCATATTGCATTTGTTGACTTTCTTTGTTGATATGATAAACTCAATATCTTATTTTAAATTTATTATAATATTTATAAAATGTCAATTTTAATTTCTTAGGGGCCTGCTTCTCCTTTAGAGCCATATATTGTATTATTGTTTTAGAAATTTTGTTTCTGCACATTGTGATTTGTCCACAGAGCAAGTCAACTGTATTGATTTTATGAATAGAAAGTCATGCTGGCTAGTTTCTTTTTACTAAGTTTAGTTTGTTAAGAAATATCTTACAAGATAAATAACCTGAAGGAAGGAGAGACAATCCAAGCTGTCTGGAAGAGTTTCAGGACAACTGAGCAGCTTTGTAGGGACAATTTCTAACCTGTCAAGCTGCCTTCATATTGTGCAGGGAGCTCTAGTTTTCCAGATTCCATGAGACTGATGATAGGGACTTAAAGTTTTAGTTGCAACAGAACAACCACAAAATTGTTTGAGCATAGAAAATTTGTTGAAAAATACCTATATAGACGATATATTAATATATGGATACATTAACATATCTAATATGGGCCTATTAGAAACAGCCACAAAGGATCGACTGTTCAAAGGATTATATCTGATATCAATCATAAAATAATAAAGAGTTATAGGATGAGAATAGGATTAACAAACAGATACAACATTTTAGAAGTTAAGTTTCATTTAAGAATGGCAAATAAACTATTCAAATATTTCAAACAAATATCATTTTAAATTTTATTAGTATTCAGAGACATGTTCTCATGCTTATCAAAGACATTCCCTATAGTAACTGAGAAAATAATAGAGCTATTTAAATTGTCCCTCAAGAAAATTATTCACATGTTTGGACTAGCAAACTCTATTCAAACTGATAATGGGACTCATCTTCCTTTGCTTCCTCCTTCTCCTTTTCTCCACATCTCCCTTCGTTAGAGACAGTGTTCCATGTACACCATTCAAATTAACCTTATAAATCTTATAAATTTTAAGAGTAAACATTTCTTTTCCCTTGATAAAACTGAATCATCTTACTGAGGACCCTGATGGGCTCTGATGTCTATCAGCCAGTGTAAATAAAGTTTTCTGCCTGAAGGATGATTCAATTTTGAAACTTCTCTCCAACCCATCTTCTCCAGTTCATCTAGCTATGTAGACATCTGACTTTAAAATTCTGGTCTTCTTGCTTATACCAAATATGTGCTGGGCTAATTTGAATAGGCAACTTCTTTCAGCTCCAAGTTTTGCTTCTAAAGTCACAAAATGGTGAATGAAACATTGCAAATAACTTGGAATATGCATGTGTAGTAGAAACCATAATTGATATAAAAAGTGAAAAGATGAACTATGTCTTTATTTGAGGCACAGGTTTTCTTTGTATCTTTGGAGTCTGGCCTGGAACTCACTTTGTAGACCACACTGGCCTCAAATGCACAGAGATCTGATTACTTCTGCCTCCCAAGTGCTGGGGTTAAAGTCATGTACCACCACTGCTCTGCATTAAAAGGGAATTTTTAATATTGTTTATAGACCTTGTTGCAGTCAGATAAATTTAAAATTGTTTCTCTTCTCTGAATTAGAGTGTCACGCTTAAACGGACATTGTGAGGTTACATAAACCCGTCAAGACCTAATCCAAAAAGGTTTAACACAAGACAATAATTTACACTGTTCTCCTCATTGCTCAGATCCAAAGAAAATCTGCATTGTAGATTAAAATAAAATAGTCAAATCTATTATCTGAAGGGGTTTCCACACTAGTTTGGTTAAATTTGTGTCTTATAGGCCATACTATAACCATTCCCAGTGCCCTACCCGAAGAGCAAGCCGTGCCCCATAGCCTATGTCTCTCGGCCTCCTCCACACAGCACAGGTCACATATTAACAAGTTGTTAGTGCAGAAACGCCTTCTCATAAACATTGAGGAGTAGATACATCCCTTTGCCTGGTGGGACTGAATCATCTCACTGAAGAGACACAACTGTTTTCTGATATTCAACTCTCTGCCAGTTTTAAAGCTCTTGCTGAAGGATTATTCAACTTTGGACCTTCTCTTAAACCCCTGTTTTCCTATCCCTTCCGAATAATCTTCAATCATAATGTGAATCCTCTACTCCATTCCCCCTCTCTCTCAAGTCTGAAGAGCAGTCTGGATTCCCTGCCATGTGGGAAGTCCAAGGTCCTCCCCCCTCCATCCAGGTCCAGCATGGGACTAAATTAGAACTTTCTTTTTCTCATTCAATATTTTCATAGGAAGCAGCAGGATCAAGATCATGAAGGGAAACCAACAGAAGGGCAGACCTGAGCTAGTGGGAGCTCATGACTCTGGACCAACAGGTACGGAGCCTGCATGGGACAAACCTAGGCTTTTGAATGTGGGTGACAGTTGTAAAGCTTGGTCTGTTTGTGGGGTCCGTAGTAGTGGAACCAGGACCTATCCCTGATGCATGAGCTGGCTCGTTGGTACCTATTTCCTGTGTTGGGATGCCTTGCCCAGCTTTGATGGAGGGGAGGAACCTGATCCTGTCTCAACTTGGTCTGCCTTGGTTTGCTGACTTCCAAGGGGGACCTGCCCCTTTTAATAAGGAGGAGGCACTGATAGAAGGTAGTAAGGAGGTGAATGGAGGGAGGGAAAACTGAGGTTTGTGTGGAAAATAAATGAAAAATAATAATAAAAGCAAACAAAACATTAAAAAAACAAATAAAACAAAACAAAAAGAAAACTACATTTATATCTTTTCCCATCGTTTACAGTACAATATCATTCTTTTCTTCAAGTCTTCTTAACCTTGTCTTTCCTGTTCTGAGGCAATCATAAGTAGGATATTATGAAAAGATGGAGGAATTTTGTCAATTATTGTTTTTTTAGAATTGATTGTTGAACTATCTCCCTCATACACATGTAATTATACAACACCCAGCTGTAATCACAACTCGTATAAATATGAAAAGGGCTTTGCGGATGAGATCCATATTTGCTTAAATTTTTTTCACACTATGATTTCATAAAAGCATAAGGGTTATTTCCTTGTTTAAATTTTTCCAACAATTTTTTATTGATTCTTTGAATTTCATATCATACACCACAACCACAAACATTTCTCAGGTCTTTGAGATCTCCTTCCAACCTTGTATCTTCCCCCACAAAAAGACAATAGGAAATTAAAATTACAAAAAAGTCTCATGGTAGAATGTGCAGTGTCTCACAGTGTGTCACACGGTGTACTCTTTAAACAAGCTGCTTTACTTGTGAATGTTCGCTGTAATGAGTCATCGGACTGGTTCAGGACTCTGGGCTCTGCTACACTACCGATGCTGGATCCTCTCTGAGACCCCTCTGGGTTATCCTGTTGCTGCTCTGTGTCATTGAGATCCTGCGACTTTGGTTCTGCAGGACCTGCCCCATGAACTCTAGTAGCTCATAGATGGGGTAGGTGTTGGGTGGGCCAGCTCAAAATCTTGGAACCGGGCCTGAGTGGTAGCTGAGTTGCTCACTGATGCGAGCTCTCCATGTTACCCAGGTGAGGTGTGAGGCTGTCTATTCTGTATCCACACTATCAGAGCTAACTGTTCCTCACCCATGTCACAAGGGCAAACTTTCTGACGCTGATAAGATGAGGGGTAAGGACCAGCTTTCCCACACTGATGAGTCCATGCTCATCTACACCTTCGTTTAGGGCCAGCTCTTCCTATCTGCTCAGGCAAGTTGCAGGGCTAGCTCACCCTAGTCCCGTGGCCAGCAATTGGTGGGTTTAGTTCGCCCACGCACACACCACTGGGGCCAGCTCTCCCACACTGGCCGGACAAGGGACAGGGCCATCTTTTCTTTACTTTTATCACTGCTGGTACTACAGTGTGGTGGCTGGTGAAGGGCTGGATCAGCTCAGCACCGTACTCATACAACATCATGGCTTCAAATGGGAGCCCAGACGAAGGAGGTCCACATTGCCATGGACGTTGTCACAGAACCCTGCTAGAGAAGAGCCATGGCCCTCTGGAGCAGCACAGGTAAAGATCACACCATGCCTCTGATAGCAGTGCAGGCCTCTCTCATCAGGCCGTTCCTTGCTGCCTTCACATCTACAGTCCCACCTCTCTTCACAGAGAACAAACTGCTCCCACTTCCCTTTCTGTCTCACCTCTCCAGCACATATTTGCTCATCATAATGCTGCATGCCCTGAATAATAGTTAGGCCCCTCCTTAGCTTTTAAATTTTCATTTTTGTTTGATAAATAAGAGAATTTATTTCATCTCATAGCTTCCTGTCCATTGCTGAAGAATGTAGGCCAGGGGTTGAAAGCAAGACTCAGGAATCAGAACTGAAGAAGATACCATAGAGGTAATATGCTTAGTAGGTTGTTCCTTATCATTTGCTCAGCCTTTTTTATTATGTCTTTTATTTTGTGAGATTATAATATATTTGCATTATTTCTCCCTTCCCCTCTAATGAAGATGTGCCTTGATAGAGTAATCAGTGAATGTTCAGAAGGCCGTTCATAAACTAAAACGATGCTGAAATGGAGTTCATGTGCCTTCTCTACTCACTCTTCATTTTCTTTCCCGTCGTTACAAACTTTCGATAAATGAATAAGAAGGCTTTTATGGAAAGGAAAGCTATGGCTGCCACACAGGCCAGTAGGAATCCAATCACATCTAGAGAGTGGTACTGGTACCAGGTGAGGTTGTGTGCAAGTGGTCTCAGGTGCTTGGCCCCTTTGTGGCGCATGACAAACTCAATCCAGAAGATGACTCTGTCCAGGGGTTTCATGGGTTGGTCATGATGAATGGTAGATAACCACATAGCATTCTTTTTATAGCTGACAGAAGGAAAACAGACATTAACTTACATAAGAAATGAAAAATGCACATGTGTAAACTTTTGTGTAAACATTAAAGTTAATCACACCATATAGAAATAAGATATATTTTGTTTTATGTTCAGATGCATGTCTGAGTTCCTTGAGCATGCAATATTAAGCATTAAAAGAGAAAAATAATTAAGATCAAATATTCCTAAAGTACAGTTTAGAGTCACCTAAGTTATAAACACAAAAAATCAAAATGAGATATTATTTGAGTATATAAAGCTTCAGTTCTCCAGGAGCAATTTTTAGTAACTTTTGTGTGTAAAATGTTTACTAGTTCCAGGATCTTTAAGTAGAAGGCAAATCATTCTTGAGTCCTCATGGTGTTGCATATATGTGTAAATTTGATAAAGATTGAAATGAGATTTTTATGGTACATCTATCATTGATTAGTGGTTTTAATTACAAATGTGTTCTGGTTCTTATTAATTAGCTCTAATAATTGCTTCTCACTGTTTTTACATTTTTCTAATTAAAGTCATCAAATATTTGATAAAATTAATAGGAAGATTAATTTTCTACTCTGTTACTGTATTGAATTTTTTATTATTCTTATTATTCTTATTGTAAAGTAGAATCACAATAATTTTTGCTATTACTTTTAAATATGTGTGTGAGAGAATATGTGTTTAAAGTGTGTAAACCGTGTTTGTATATATTTGTGTTTGTGTGTTTATATTTGTTATGAGATCTGCTGGAGTTAGAGTTATAGATATTATTAACCAACTGTTGTAAGTGTTGGGAACAGAACTCTGGTCTGCTGCTGGGGTAGACCTTCCCTTATCCACAAAGCCATCTATCAAGCCTAAGTTTTACTCTTATTGTTGATATTCGTTTTCTGTTATTATTGTAATTTTAGAAGTATGAGTTGTAAAAAATTTCACACTGAAAATCAAATACAAGATGTACTTGATATTAATGCTGAAATAATTATTCATGACCATATAAAGGGGAATGGTTATAAAGACAAGTCATCAAATCTGATGACTGTTTAATGCAGCAGAATTAGCAATTGTAATAATCGTAACTTACTGTCTTTTTATTTACAAAGCAAAATAAGAGAATTATGAATTTATTCTTAGTCAATGATCATCATTTCTTAGTATGCATGTTTAAAATTAAATTTGTAACTCATCTCTTTAGGAAATGAGAAGTGGGGAAACCTCTTAGGGAAGGGTGAGGAAGGTTAATACAAAAGAAAGGCAAACAGTAATAAAGTACCAATAGCAATATCAGAAAAAGCCATGAAAAATTTTACTATTAATAATTTACTCAATTCTCCCACAACACATACACTTTTATGTATAAATATACATATATAATTTTAATGATCTTTTTCTTTCTGTACTGATGGTGCTCAATCGAAAAGTCAAAGAACAACTTACATAAACCTCAATACCAAATATGAGAAATCCTCTTTTTAAGCGATTGGCCAAGCCTGTGAAAGAAACCCCCTAAACACGGAGCCTATTGGTGGTGCTTTTTCTCCAATGGTGGGAGGTACAATTCTATTGCTGAATGAGCATTCAACTCAGAAGCACAACCCAGAGACCTCTGAGCTGGAACTGACGGCATTGTCCAAACTGAAACTAGCTTTTGTAGTATAAAAAAGTAGAGAGGATTGAAAGATTTTAAAAGCCAGAGGGAAGTACTGTGAAGTTGTTTCTTTGATAAACTACACTCATGAAGTCTCAACAACATAAGTACCTAAACAAGATCTGAATAATGATGACACCTATAGTATTTTTAACAACATAGGTTCCTAACAAAATCAGAATAATTATGAAACCAGTACTCATTCTCAAAAAAAAGTAGGACCCTAACAAAATCTGAATAAGTAGGACTTCTATAGTTGTTCTCAAACAAATAAGTCCCTAAACAAGTACTTGATGTGGATCATTTTGTGTAAATATAAAAAATAATTACATAGTATTATCACAGTATTTTGTGAATGAGATTGCTTAATAAAGAAGTGACTCAGGCCCAAGACAGGGCTGAACAGAGCTAGGCAGGTAAAACTAAGCTGAATTCTGGGAGAGAGAAGGTGGAGCGACAGAGAAGTCATGCAGGCCCCGGAGGAGATAAATAGCCGACCATTACTGGTAGGCCAAAACCACATGGCGATACAAAGATTAATAGAAATGGGTTAATATAAGATATACGAGATAGCAAAAAAGTGTTCATAAACTAATTCGACAGCAATGTTGTAATTAATATAGTTTCTGATTGCTTATTTCGAGTCTGAGTGACTGGGAACAAACAAGCAGCTTCTTACAAAAGATCTGAATAAGGATTACACGAGTAGCCATGCTAATATGAAAAGAGGTAGATTTTACTCTGGTACTTATTCCACATGAAATTTTTAAAGGACTGAAGTAATAATAAAAGTCAGAAAATATATTCGTTTTCTAAACAAGATATTTGAAAAGAATTTCTAAATGAATCAAAGAAAAACAAGTATCAACTTCTTAATTTTCTTCATAGCAATGTTTTCAATATTTAAATTTATCCTGACACAGGTTGTATATTTAAATATCTAACCATGCACTTAATTTATGTTAATATCTATGCTTTTTTGATGTATTACAACTTTCATAAAAGTTACCTATCTCTTTTATAATATTTAATTTCTCTGTTGTAATAGTTTCCTATGGCTTCTAGGATATCTGGTACCACCTCTAATATTTCAGTTTTGCAAGGAGGGCTGCTTGTTGGTACTCGGTTACCCAGCTAGCTTAGACATGGAATAATCACACAGAAACTGCATTAATTAAATCACTACTTGTCCCATTAGCTCTAGCTTCTTATTGGATAACTCTTAAATATTAATTTAACCTATTTCTATTAATCTTTATATCACCCTGTGGCAGTGGCTTACCAGCAATGTTCTAGCACGTCTATATCCAGGAAAGGGGAAATGATGTGGGAGTTCCTTCTGTCTATGTGTTGCTTTTATTGGTTAATGTATAAACCATTTGGGCCTATGGCAGGGAAAAAATATTTAGGCGGGGAAAACTAGGCTATATGATGGGAAAAAGAAGGTAGAGTCAGAGAGATGCCATGAAACCGCTGGAAATAGACATGCTGATACTTTGTTGGTAGGTTATGAATAAAGAACTGGTTTGGCCTATAGCATGGGAGGAAAAAGGTAGAGTCAGAGAAAAGCCATGGAGCTGACTCTGGAGACAGATGTGCTCAAACTTTGCCTATAAGCCACTGCCAGGTTGTGATATTCAGATTAACAGAAATGGATTAAATTAAGATGTAAGAGTTAGCCAATAAAAAGCTAGAGGTAATGTGCCAAGCAGTGATTTAATTATTATAGTTTCTGTGTGATTATTTCTGGTCTGGGTGACAAGGAACAAAAAAATGGTTCTTCCCTCCAGTATTTTATTTCACTTCACTTATTGGCTATTGAAGTTTTATACTATTCTTTAAACTCTGACCAATTACTTTACAAAAAGAATTAAAAATAAAAATTGTCCAGAGCTGAAGGCATATGCCTGTTGGACAAGCTGTTTGGAGGATTAAGTAGAAGGATTTCACATTGAGGAAAAGTATGATTTACATAGAAAAGAAATATAAAGCACAATATGGAAATTAAAAGTAATAACAAAAAAAGGAAAAACAATATGACACTAAATCATACCCTAATTTGTCTCTGTATCTTCCATTATTTTAGCTCTCAGGATAATTATTGCACCTTTGGCCTTCAGTGAGAATCATAATTAATGATGCACAAATACTAACATATACACATTTCAAAGGGTATACTCACAAAGGGTTACCTATGACGGCCTCCAGTGCATTGAGCAAATCTGCCCTTTTTATTGTTCTGAAATCTAACGAAACAGCCGCTCCTTTGGCTACTATGTAGGCAATGTTATCATGTTGCTCTCCAAATAAAGGAATGCCAATCATAGGGATTCCAAAATGGATCGCCTCATAGATTCCATTGGCTCCACCATGAGTTACAAAGGCTTTGGTTTTTGGATGACCTAGAATAACATGAATTCAGGTTGACATTAATTAGCAGTCTTAGACATGAATTGAGAAATGTGCACTATCTGGAACTGAAAGGAGATTTTCTACATGAAGATTAATTTTACTTAATTCAATTTATTAATTTAGTTTAGCATGAACTTCTGT